ATATAATAGATATACATCATATCAGGAGTGTCATAATATAGTCTATATTGTATACACTCCTGACAATAGTAGTTCGGTTAGGTTGTATCGTCTCATCCATCACGTTGTCTTATATATGCGATACCGATACACTTATGTGATATTCCTTCTTGCTCTGACTGGTTAAACCCGAATCGATCGCAAGATACTTAAACTGCATGATCTTTATCTAAATAAGCGGCTTTTCTGAATCCTATTATACCGGACTGATGGAGAGCATGTACGTAAAACCGAGCACGAGGCACTTAGTTAAAATAAATGTATCAAGCGACCAGCTTAATTAGATTGTCTACGACTGCGGTTAAGGCCAAAAACCTTCTAATGTTAATTAATAAGGTATGAGCTTAATTCATGACTCAATGTCTGAATTTTATCCATGCGGTTATGTCCTTGTGATTCGAAGGCAATACAATTTAATTTTGATACAATATTATTCTAAAAATTAAAAATTAGTCTAAAAAGTACGATCCTGCTAATTAATTACGTTTAAGCTACAAAACTAAAAAATTTTAATTAGAGCTTATAATTCAATCGATGCGGTCACGAGCACGTAGCCCGTCTACAGCGCAATTTAATTTTGATATCGTATTGATTTTAAAATCTTTGTAATTGAAAAATTATCAAACACTGTTTTTTCCACAGTCGGGAGAAATAATAGAAGTACGCTACGCGAATGATCTATTACCTAGCTTTGTCTTCTTCGCCCCTAACACCCTATCTAGCCGATATAGACTTTTTTCTATTGATATACTGTCTGCTGTGATAAGCTATGGGTATTCACATGAGATACGCAGTGACTTTTAAACCTCCCTAGCCACGATTGATGAAACTGGTAAATGCTATGAACAGTCTAAGCGTAACTACGGACTATACAAAGAGCACACGCCAAGAGGTAAACAACGTGCACATATTAGATAAAAATATAAATGTAATTGTAGGTGAGGGTTAATTCTAAGGATATTTGAAAATATTGATAAATGTTAAAAAAATGTATAACTGCAAACACATATATACACGCTGACAAAATAGGCGCGTTTGGCAAACAAAGTCTGTCATAGAAAGTCTCACTTTATCGTTAATCACGAAATTATTAATGAGACCATGCCAATCGAATCATATTCCACTAGCCACGGGTACCGTAATAAACCGTGTGTGATTTATGGTTGGGCCGCGGATATCAAACTCATGCCCGCGAGTCAAACCTCGTATTTTTATTCAACAGCGATAATACCTGCTCTCGTCTAATGGAAACAAAAAAAGGAAACAACAACAAACAAATCTAATAATCTAGAATCGGATGTGACGACCCACACCCGATTATAGATTATTAGATATATTTTTTTTAATTACATATTAGCAGGATGATATTAGTTAATGCAATTGAGTGCGAACACGAGTACGAGTATACGTCGAGGCGCGTGCAAAGGTCCAACTCTCCAAGCGGTCTCTGGCAACCGATCGTACTAGAGAGCGCTAGGCTCACATTCGAGCCTTATACACTCGTCTCGATCAAACACGTGCAAACAGAATCGCAGGCGATAAAAATCGCGCAGCGCACTGCACACAAAACTACATCACAACGCATGCATGCATGCACGCCAGCCCTACGGAATTAGTGCTCACGTGAGACCGATATAGCACTAATCCCGACCCCAAGTTATCTAGCGTGCTAGTTTCTTTTTGGTTATGACTGATGATACTCATATCATGTGTGTATATCGTATCATTCTGCAAATAAACGTTTACGAATCTCTGCTCGCACCGATATATCTTATACACGGCTTCTTGAGTTAGCTGGGAGCATAATATATGCCGAGTGTGTGATGACGCGGTAGAATATTACAGTGAGTCTAATCTCCCGGTTCATGTGTTCATGCACCCAACTTCTCGGTGGTGCGATTAGACACCAAATTTATTTGTACATTGCTTAACGCTGAATATGATTACAGCCATAGTTCCGCTACTACCACGGCCACACACCCCAATCTTGAATTTCAGCGACCTCTGTCTGTGAGAAAAGCCTTTATTCGATGAATCAGCACTAGAACAAAAACTATGCAACGACGAGAATTTCCCCGTTATCAATCTCCCGTCACCGACACAACTTCGACGAATTTGTTGTTTTACGCACGAAATCTCCGCGTTTGCTCCAGCGATATTAAATCTCGAAGCGTATATGCGTCCAATTCTGGTAAGATCGTTTTTCCAAAAGGCTTCGATTACGATAAGACTGAAGCTAGGCTGTCAGCACTACCCTCAACATAGAAAGAAATTCGCTATATTCTATTCGCTCGGAAAATAAGAAAGTGAAAATTAACCATATAATGGGGAATATAATTTAGGAAACAAGTAATTAACCACGTATTAATAACCTAGGCTGAGGTTACTAAACCACAAACCTAACCTACCTAACCCACACACAAAAACCACCAAAGCCCACCGAACCCAACCCCCAACTATATTTAGGGGTTTTAGAGGTATATTCCAGAATTTGATACTGCAAATTACGTCTCACTAAGAGTGTTAAGCCGGCTTACCACATCATCCTTGCGCTCCGGCATACTGCAGCTATACAGCAGCTACACACTATACCAAGCAGTGTCACAGTACGTACTATATATCGCACAAAGGAGCCTTGGTAGCGGGCGTCGGATGCAAAGGTTGAAGGTGATAAGAACATGATAAGCTATGTTTGACACGTTTTATTAACACCTGTCATAAAATTTAGACGAAGTATGCAAACAATATGCTGTTGTATAATATATTATATATATATATATATATATATATATACACCCCCTATATAGATTCCCTATTATCTACTCCTGATTATATATATAGATATATAATATATATATATATAATATATATATATATATTTAGAAAAATAGAATAACGCGTGCTAACTTTTAACCAGCAAGCTTTCGAATGGTAATCTCTCCTTATCAGGCCCCTATTGATTATATATATATATATATATATATATATATATATATACTATATATATAATAGAGAGAAGAGAGAGAAAGACCGAGGACTTTCCTCCATCCTCTTCGAGAAAAGAGATGATGATTCAGAGCAGAGCAGGAAGCAGCAGAAAGTTATACGAACACGTTAGAACACGAAACAGTTCGTATGCAATAAACAGAGCTCACAATTACTACCGTGTCCGTATACACTTTATCAATATTTGCTCTACTCTGGTAGTATTGAGCCATCTCGCACACACGCAGTTTTCATAAACATACCATTGGAATCTCTATATATATATATAATATATAATATATATATATATATATATATATGTATATATATATATATATATATATATATTATATATATATATTTGTTGCCCGTCTAAAATGAAAAACTGGAACCCATCACTGACAGAATCTAAAGCGCTTTGCTATATTAGCAATCTATCTCTTAGCTAGATGCAAATTATTTGACTCCCTAACAAGGTATTACTATTTCATGAGCTATGTTAGTTATGATATCGTTTGCTCTCATTATGTGGTGCAAGTCTTTTATGTTATTCTCTCACTCACTCACTCCTCTTATGTTAAATTATATTGCGAAATATCTATTCGACACCTAATTCGAAGGACCTTCAACAAATATCGAAAATACAGCAGTACTCTACATTACAATTTATTTGCTCTACTACTTCTATTTTTCTACGATTTTATTTAGATCGCGAAACGGGTTTTAAACGAAAATATTTAGAAATAGTTAACCGAGTAAGGGTTGGCTATCCAAAGATTTACGTGCTAAATAGGTGGTAAACGATACATTGTAGAGATGCCTGCTATGTGTTTCTACTGGCTATAGAGTTTAGGCATGTAGATTTTCCAAAGCACTCGACAATATATAACGCCAGTACTGCAGTCAGATATAGCTATTAGCCAGGAAATGCAGTCTTATTTATGAGGAAAATGTCCGCCAGATGGGGTTGCTAATCAGGCTAGGCGATGCATTCCCTGTCTCTCACAGGAGCGTATTTCAGAGCTCTGAAGCGCATCCGCTGAATCATTATCAGATATAAAAGTAATCTGACTAAAACGTATTTATTAAGGCGTAGATAAAACAGATCATTTACGGGGGACGACTTGCGGGGGAAAACATTATCACACTTCAAGCGGATTTCCTGACACACTCACCTCAGCCGTCTGACGACGGTTGGACTGGTCTGTATTCTGCCGCCGTGCGATAATACCTGACAGCATTCTGTCACTGTAGACGCAGAACCCACCGTATCGCAATACACCTGGCTAAATACACCTACAATACACCTCCCGCGCACCGTCCATATCGGTTAACGAGCCACTAGTTGTTAGAACCGGTGCCCTCGGACTTCTTGAGAGGGTCCAAAACGTACGTGCGCAAACTCAAACTAGTCTTCTGCCTTGCCGAGTTCAAGGTGACACGGTACCCGAACCTTTTCACGACATGTCTTCCGGGCGCCTTACTATAATTGGCGCTAATTCAATCCATGGCGGTTTCTATCGGTATCCACTCGCTACTATTTCCTTTTCACGTGAGACACTGTAAAGTCGGAGTACGTATCTAGTCCATTACACTGTTCCTTAGCATCGAGAAACAATAGCAGGAGCGAGCCGGCACAGGCGCAGCCAGGGTCATAACAAGCCGCCCCCACACGCTCCGCGGAGCAAACTGATGAGTGCGGTCAGAGGCTTGTATAGCAACGCGGATAGATGCTAACGAGCGCCGACGATCATGTACACGCGCACGCACGCACGCACGCACGCGCACCCACACGCACGCACCTATGTACGAATAAGCGCGGATATAAGACAGATGCATGCACGCGCGCACGCACGCGCGCACCCACACGCACGCACCTATGTACGAATAAGCGCGGATACAAGAAAGATGCATGCACACGCGCACGCATTTATGTACGAATAAGCGCGGGTATAAGAAAGATGCATGCACACACACGCGCGCGCACACAGCGTAGAAACGCACACGCGTAGACCATATGCTCAGCTCTATAGCAACGTACGTACGTCCCCCCCCTCGTATGCAGTCTACGCACGCTGCCGCCCCTTTGAAATATTAATCGTCACTATCCCCTTACGCGCGCTCTCATTCACACCAAATCTAAATAATTTGGATGCGCATCCCCAGTCAAATAACTACTTCGCCGTTAAACGAAGGGACAAAATCCCCGTCGACTAGTGAAATGCATTATGCCGTCACGCCGTATTCGGTCATCTCGATGATAGAATGCACCCAAGCGTAATATTACAGATTCAACCCCAATACACGATTGACACTCGCACGTACGCTGAAACATTTGCATGCCGTGAATTTTAACTAAGCCGTATTTGATTAGCACGTGGCAGCACAGCACAGAATATATGAGTGAGAGGACGCCGTTAATTTGCTAATTGGTCTATTTGGTTGTGGTTTTGCAAATTTACTGTAACTGACGCTTCCACGTACGCCGCACAATGTATGCAAGCAACGGAGGATCGTAATATCAAGGCTTATTCATTTCTTATTCATCACTATTAATCAATACCGACGTCATTGCTGCTGTACGGGAACAGGAAAGCAGAATTAAGCAAAGTACGATATAGAACAGCACGTGCGATAACGTTAACGACAGTCAGAACTCGTTCCAACCAAAAATCATGGAAGACTTAATTCCTGTTATCCACACGGTCACTTTCACAAATATGAAGAGTATTGTCTCTTAAACATGTTAAAACACAAAGCGGTTGGCAATTAACATAAAGCTATATTAATAAATTCACGAATTGATCGATTAAATTGTAACGGAAATCCTGTCGTGTTTAGTCATTTCTTTCGTAAACTTGAGCGACCACACTCTGCAGTAAGCTTGACCGCTTACAAAAAGGCATTAAAAGATATTTCTCCTGCTATCCTTGACAGTAGAATTTTCCAGTAATTTATATATGAGATCTTGCTCTTGGTTAGACAAACTAGACATCTGTGTGAGTGCCTAGCACTTGAACCGCTTGAGTCTCTTCGCGCTCTATGCGTGTACACAGATAGACAGATGCGGGCATAGCAAGCGCTTCAGCAATACAATAACTTCTACGGTTACTATTCTACTATTACTACTACTACTCAATTACTAGCTACTACTAGCTACTACTAGCTACTACTAGCTACTACTAGCTACTTCTAGCTACTACTAGCTACTACTAGCTACGACTAGCTACTACCAGCTACTACTAGTTACTACTAGCTACTACTAGCTACAAGCTACTACTACTACTAGCTACTAGCTACTAGCTACTAGCTACTACTACTACTACTACTACTACTACTACTACTACTACTACTACTACTACTACTACTACTACTACTTCTACTATTCTACTATTACTAAGATTTCGATCTGATGCTTACGCGGTGATACTCGCCATGTACCATCGCATACGATGAGACATCATAGTTCACGCAGCATCGCGTGCCCAAATCCGGCATGAAGCACGTCACCTTTTTGCTCAATGGAAAAACTTTTGACTTCTGAGCAGCGATTTCGCCTTTCTGAAGAAACCGCATATAGCTCGGGAAACTCGTGCGCCTAGCAATCAACAACATACGAAGAAGCATTGCGCAAATGGTTTTTCAGCCACATTTGACATTAGCCTGAGTGCTGACATCATTAATCTATGATAAATTACAGTGGCTTCCAATCGATACAGATCGATAGCCACGTCCTGCGCTCAGTAGTATCGTTTCGATTATTATGCAGCATGTTCAGATATCGTGTAGACGGCAGATAGGTATAGATAAAATACAATAATTAAAATTACTTTCCTTGTCATAACTGAATTCATCACCTGTTCGCAGAATAACGATAATAATAACATGTTTTATTGTCATAGAGAGATCGGATTTAATGCAAAGAATTTTGAATATTATCGTTGCTATATCTAAAGCTGCTGATTTAACATATTTCAAAAACTTGGGCAACGATCCCTTTTTGTTATGTGAGGAGGCATATCCAGCTAAACATAGACATGGAAATTGTCTAACAGAGACTATTTCATTCTAAAGCGCCGCATGATTTTAGTGGAGTAACATAATGCCGGCACAACAGCACGTCTCACTAATTTTTTACTCCTCCCTTTTTTGTCTTTTTACTTATCCATGCCATCTTCATTTATTTCTCAGTGTTTTTACCCCTATGCCAGATCGATTGAACATAGCACATTGTATTTAATTAATTAAAACTGAAAAATTGATCGAACTTTAATAAAACGTCATAGCACTCACATCATATCTGCCCCAGGGGTTTCTTTATCTCTACCATGTAAACTGTAACCGGGCAAAGTCAACACGAAACAAACAAACGTATCCCCAGTCCAAGAAACGTGTGATAACACAAATCCAAAGCTATGTTAACCACGCTTCTTGAGGGTATTTAAAGTATATAATTTTGCCATGTTAGCAAGTCGAACATTCGCTGCTGTTCGTGTTATACCAATACACATATGTTATATCCTGCTGGAACTCGAAAGCTATATTAGCATGCAACTGATGCGATGCTTACGCAGCGATTTCCGATCGTGCAATAGCGATGCCAGCTCATAATTACGTTAGAACACTCGA